CTAACGCATTTATTCGATAACACTTGTACACATCGCTCCCCTTGAACGCGCAACATCAATAATCGGTATACACACAGACATGCACGCACGTGACATGGACGTTCCTCACAAGTAACCTTGGTTACAGTGACTAATCAGACTGCACCACGTGTATGCTTGGTGTTGATTGGCTGACTGCTGATTACTTGTACGGCCAGTATCGGCTCAAGACACGCTTCTACCATCGTACATGAATTACGTTGCTACTGTTCTCTGCTAATTCAAAGGATTTACTTACGTGCATATCAGGAGTCTTATTGAATACAACACAGTCCGGATACATGACCCACCATCGTTTATTTCCCCCACGAAGATCAAGAAGGACATCAATTTGACTTCGAATCAGTGAAAATTATCGACCGAACCCTGTCAAAACACGCCAGAGAATTTCTCGAGGCGTGGCACTCTTCAATCAATTCAATAAACAGGCCCGTCGAACTGGATCACGTATACACGCCAATGCAATTCAACGATCAAATGACGCAACAAAAAGGGTCACGNCTGTAACCAAGGTTACTTGTGAGGAACGTCCATGTCACGTGCGTGCATGTCTGTGTGTATACCGATTATTGATGTTGCGCGTTCAAGGGGAGCGATGTGTACAAGTGTTATCGAATAAATGCGTTAGACAGCAAAACAGACTGGATCCCGTATACACGCCAATGCAATTCAACGATCAAATGACGCAACAAAAAGGGTCACGCCGTGACCTGAGAACGGAATGAAACCGCAATCAGGACGAAAGGGACAAACCCCTCCCACCCTCACCCCCGCGCACCAACTCCACGACGAACTGAGTCGAACAGCGTGAGAACAGAGGACAAAAGTAGTCGATGGAGAAGAACATACATAGAAACGAACGCGCACAAGCACAACACCGCTACTTCACCAGCACTGATGATGTCACCTCGGCTGGTGATGAAATGTTTGCAAACAAATTGCGAAAAGCTCGGAGAACAGGTGAAATGGAATTCAGTTACAGGATTGTATTCTATTAGATAGAGAAATAAGAAGTCTACTTTGAAGAAAGATAAGATGATTGAAGAGGGATAAACAGATTACATAGATAGGTGGTAACGTCTCCGAAACGGGATGTGGAATGATCTCAAAGTTGCCTGAACATTATCACAGACCCACATGATAAGATCACGGGGTTGCAAACAAGCTGGTTTTGGGGTGTTTCACTGCCATATCATCAAAACCCAGAATTTACACAACCAATTGCAGACGAGCGAAATGAAATGTAATTGAAATGTTCAAACGTTTGTTTCCCATTTTTGATGTGGGTGGGTTTCGTTAACTAACAATGCAAGTTCAATCAGATGCTTCAAGACGATCTACTTGATCCCTTTTACCCCTCACTCCCGCATATTGGCAAATTGAAATCAGTCTGGCAACAAAGTTCATACTTAAGACATTAGTTACCAGTACGCACGAAAATCACCCCTACCCGTGGAGCACGACTTCATACTTGTATCCATAGGAGTTTCACTTACATTGTCCAACCAAAATACGGTCTATAACTTGTGCTATTATTTCTATTACTGTTATCTCTCACTCTCAAATATTCAGGTACATATGTATATCTATATCTATCTCAAATTTATGCAAGTGATGACTTTCCGGATAACGTACTGAAGTACTACTTAGCATTCTTACTTCAAATTCTCTTGTCCTAATATACCATCCATACCCATTGTGAGAAAACACAAAGTAGTGAACAAGCTCGTTTGCGATGATTCTTCTACAGGTTAATACATCACAATTTATATCAAACTGTTTGGCAGAGGGGGGAGAGATCAAGACAAGTTTGAAAGAGATAATTAACATTTCAGTCCATGACTGGATGTCACTTACACTTTGGTCCTCACACACGTGCACTTGTTTGGGTCATTAGGGGCTAGTGGGGGATGGCTGTGTCGTGTGTGTTGTTGGTCAAACAGTTTGATATAAATTGTGATGTATTTGCCTGTAGAAGAATCACTGCAAACGAGCTTGTTCACTACTTTGTGTTTTCATATTCTCTCTCAGACTTTCGATATGGAGTCTCAGTGTGAACTGTTAATCATCAGTCTAGAGCAGCTGCAGCTGAATGTCTGCTCGCTACAGACATGACCCTATTTCCCAGTAAAGTTTCAGTTTTTTATAGTTGGCTGCAAAATGGGTTACTCTTAATGCGCTTTTGGTGTATACGTATATACATATATATATATATATATA